GTTTTATTTGTCGGATTCCAGGCTCTTTTTCTTAGTTTTTTTCATTCCTGCATCCCTGTCCACCTCTACCTTGATTTCTTGTGAGCTGCCCTTTTCATCGTCGTTGGGCCAACAAGCAGAATGGCAAATAGGATTTACAAGCACTAGTCAAGGAACTTGATCCCCGGATCATGCTTGTAATCTTAGCGCCACATGCCAGTTGCTCTCTATTTCAAAGAACGAGAAGAGCGTCGAGTGCAGACCACACACCACAAGTGACGACGGCCAAGAAAAAGTGGCTTTTCTTTCTTTTTTCTTGGCCGTCGTCACTTGTGGTGTGTGGTCTGCACTCGACGCCCTTCTCGTTTTCCGAAATAGAGTGTTGTTCCCATGTTGATTGTAATGAAGAAGTAAATTTCGCAAGTTTGCTGTAGCCTGCAAAATATTTGAAAACTACTTATAAGATTGATGGGGTTATAGAGTAAGTAAAGAAATAGGCCAGAACGAGAGTAAAGTTGAACAAAAGTGATGGGGGACGCTATAAAGTCATTGCCTTCAATACTACACGAGTGTAAAATTAACCTTTTGACATTATTTTGCTGTGAAGTAATTTTTAATTCATTCTGGCCACGTAGAGTGAGTGCAAAATGTGGCTGTGGCAATAAGCGCCATTAGGTTCTAATACTGCGCACGAGTTGAGTCCCTACCCTAGGCGTTCATAGCTATCGTGGATGTGCTTTACCAAGACTTCAGCGGGTTGAAGGTCGCAGATCCAACATGACTTTTTGTCTATCTGCGCTTTTTCATCAATACGACCCTTCGTCGAAAGACAAAAACCTTGGGGCTCAAACATCGGTCGGCCTTCCCAATGTTCTTCATCGGCCGAATATCCATTATATGGGGATGCTGTACCCGATCTTGAAAGAGAACAAATGTGGTGTGTCCAAAAACTATTGGTCGGTAACGTTGATTTTCTTTGGAAGGCCATTCGAGAAACTAATGCTTGCGCTTTTCCTTTTCATTACATTGGGGAAAACAGTGATGTACTCGAGATTTGCTTGTCGAAGCCGACACGTCAGAGTCGCGCACGTCTAACTTTATCTCCACCACAAAAATTGCATAGTAATCTAGTTACACAATAACCGACCTACATAGAAATGGCGCTGTTCTGCTGTTTGCAGTCTGACGCCGGTAAAAGCTCATTTTTCCGTTTGGTTTTCAGTTGATCTCCTCCAGCGTCCATTCATAAACAGCACGAGAGGGGGCGTTTCGCGCGGCTCAAGGGCTTCTTTCGGATCTTGAGCCACCTTGGCTTTGTGGAGGACGATCTCGTGGAAACGTCAGGCTCATAAACCTGTTGGCGGAGGTTTTTCTCATCATAGCTCCAACAATAAGATAATTATAGAAAACAGGACGATCCTCTGACCAAGATTTAATTTTATGCTTTTCTTCTTTCACGCTCCAATTGCCATTCCAAAGGCAGTTTCGGGAAACGGCAAAACCTTCCGCTTGCAGGATCCAGAGTGTTCGTTGAGCACATATAGCTGTGTCGTCTTTGTTTCTCCAGGATTCATGGCTGTGGCATATACCGCTGGCACATTCTTGGTTCTTCCCCTACAGTAATCTTGAACATCATTCCGTTCGAGTGTCTGCGTCTCTTCAGGCTCAGTAATATCTCACCAAAATGTCTCGGCTGGATGCCCACACTTTCCCACCGACAAACACCGACAGCACTGCAATCCACCGCTAAAACAACCTCTTTGTTCTTGGTATGGCCTTTTCTTTCATTTTTCCTTACCACCAACCATACAATCCTATTTTTGTATTTGGCTACTGAATTACTGCAATTTGCTTGGAATTTTCCTTCAACCAACGAATTGGGCAACTGAGGGCTTTTCTATAGGCAAATTTCAAGCAAAATGCAGCTGATTGGCTGTTAGCGGTGATTACGGCATAATTCCATAAATTTCAAAGTAAACCAAAAAGGAGGGGTGTATGGAGGATCCTGCCAACAAAACCCGTGGTCCTGCCAAAAGTACTGAATAGCTATTCCATAAAAGGGGTCATTTTTTGCTCGGCAAGTATACATCCATGGCCAAGCAACTGCTTATCACCGATCAGTTCTGTACAAAAAAGTGAACAAAACGCATACAGCTTTTATAGGCCCTCATTGATTGCTTGGGTGATTTTTTTCAATCACTGTGCTGATAATTCAATTTGTGAAGAGGGCTCACGGTGATACGAATTGTTTGGCTGCCGACTAGCCGCTGTCGACCTAATTCAATCTTCGACGTAGTTCTGGCTTGATGAAGTGTCGAGGAGGGCATTCTAGGAATCCTTAACTCGTTTGGCAGTTTGCCAACCAATTGACCTTCATGATGGGCTCAGAATAGAAATTCTAGAAACCCGCTCAGTCCACCAAACTTCCCATCTTTGGTCAGTGTCCCTTTTGCAGGTGGTCCGAGTTGGCCAAGCGGGCCCCGGATGGGCGGGGCCCCCGTCACCTCAGCGCACCTTCGACACACGTACTCACACTTTCGTTTACATTCCTCTAACCCTCACAACACGTTTTCTGTCGCTTTGAAACGATTTCCGAGTTTTTAGACGTCAACCAATGCCTCAACGGTTAATCTCTCCGACATGTACTTACTAGCAGTCCATCTGGTTGCCGTGCTGCTGCTGGCAGTACGGCGATCTCTAGCTGAGGAATGTGCGATCTCACAAACGACTCGTAGCTATCTGAACGAGACGTTTTTCACCAGCCAGGTTTTATTATCGGGTACGGTAGAGAAGATCACTTTAATCTCGGAGAAGGAGGACGTGGTGCAGGTACGGTCCTACTTGAGCCTTAATTGCCTTTTAGGGCTTATTTTCTGTCGGAAAGACAGCTTGAGCTTTTCAGCATTTACAAGTACGAATCAGAAGGGTATTCAAAGGAAAAGAGCACCTCAAGTCCAGTTCTTCGGTGGATGTGATTGTGCCGTCAAGTTTCAAGGTCAGCTGTTTGGCATTGAGCCAACACCGGGTCACAAAAATGTTTTTTTTTCAGTTTTGCATCTCAGTACTGCTCGTACATGACACTCGAGTCTTTCCACTGACCAGCGATGGCAAGGTTCCTTACACTTTCTGCACCTGTGCTACCCATCAACCTCAATGTATTGGACTCACTTCACTCATTCATTTTAAGTGAGTTATTTGCCGTTTTCACGGGTTTTGAAAATTACTGGACCCTTTATTCAGCCCTTGGTAGACGCGTTTCGATGGGGCACCACACCTGGGCAGCAGCTGGCATATTTCTCTTTTCATTCACTCGTAGCGCTCATTGTCGCCTCTTACCAATTACCGTGCCTAATTACTGCGAGTCAACGTCCTGTCGGAGTTCTGGGCTGACAGCGACAAAAAGCCTCGAAGAGAGCAGCGGGTGTATGGTGGCTGGGATCCGACGATTCCCAAGTAATCCTCTCGAAGAGCAGTTGATACCGGGGTATTTAAAAGTCGCAGAGCTTTTTGTCGAGGATTAGTTGCAGGTCGATGGATCGTGGGAATGCTCCTGATTCGCACTGCAGATGCCACCCCTATTATGCAATTCACTGTTGTCACAGCGCATTATTGCAAGGTGTTCTCAATAGACAAACACATTTTCGATTCTGTAATTACAGAATTATTGACTGGGGGTACTGTAGAAAGAGCAAGGTGATATTTCAAAAAAGATAATTCCCTTGAAAACGTTGAAATCAAGAAGTGGATGTCGATGTCATGTTGAAACTCTAGCGATATTCTTCCGAGAAGCTTTGAATTCTATGTCAAGAGCCTTTTGAGGGAACAACGTAAACAACCTTTTTCTTCAGAGGAGGGCTGGGGGGGGGGGTGAGTGGGGAGCAGCTGGGGTGAGTGTTAGAGTGTGGGAGTGTCAATGACGCCGCTACCACTGCGCATGATCCTTTTGGGTGGATTACCAGGCTCTAATCCAGTCCAGATCACCCGGACCTCCCATCCCTGAGAGTTCGATCACAAACCAGACTGGTATGGAAAGGCCCCGAAGTAATATCCCAGCAAGTTACTGTGAAGTACACATTCAAACGCAATCATAATTTCTTATAGAAGTTGCGTTCATGGCGCATTCTGAAAGGCAGAATGATTGAAGAATTGTCCTTTATTTTTCAGCGTTCACTTTTTTTTCATAAAATTGAAGAGTAAACAGCAACAGGTGTCATATTTCAGGAAAACCTCACAAGAAGCGGAAAAAAGCCCAAAAAAGTAAGTCAATCACGGTTGTTCAAAAAAGTAGTAAATATAGGAGGCAGGGAAATTGTGCTTTCATCCGTGGGAGGGCAACCATCAAGTTACTTGTCAATCCCGAATCGACATTCCTAAATACCTGCAGAGAAACTTCCTTTAGTATGTGAACTCCGAATTTGTATTATATTAGGTAATATTAGCGATCCATTGTTAAAATCCTAATATTACCCCCAATACTTGAGCCTTTTCTGCCTAACACAAGTAGCTTGTTCGAGTTGCCCGAGAAGGGACGAGAAGTGGGTAACTTGAATCAAACTCGGGCCAATTTCTGACCCCTGTGGGCTTTGTTTACACCGGCTTCATGTCGACAGGCAACTGAAGCCACCTCCTGATAGATCAATCAGCGCCGTGAACGACACAAAGCTCCTGTCCTGTTAAAGTGGTTCCAGCCTTCTGAGCGAGTTGACACCTTTCCAGAAATCAGTGGCGTTCAAGAACTTTCATGAAGTTTTGATATGGTGTTTGGGGGGGAGGGTGAATACATTATCTTTGGCGTTCAGCGCTCTGACGAAGGCGACTGGGCCGAAGCGTAAGCCGAGTTGAGATTATTTCGATTTTGGTCGTGTTTTCAAAAACCTAACTTGAGGTATTACAAAACCATGCCAAGATTTAGTGAAAGTCGAGACTGAGTAATATGAACAAGATAAGAAAAGCTTCAAAGAGGCGAAGAGGGTCAATGGAGAGACCTTATTAGGGAATTTTCTATTGAGACTATTTGAACGTACCTTTAGACTCTGCTTCACCTACCAAAATTTCTTGTCAACCGTGAAGTTCTAATTATGTTAGGGAGATTCTGGCTATCCAGCTGTTCAGGTCATGGGCAATCTCAGCTCTGTTCCTCTTGGGTATTCAAAATGCGTCTGCTCTACGTAAGTCAAACGCCAATTTTATCGAATTTTTCTTTTTTTTTTACTCGAGACTTTTCCTATTTTTCAATTAGAATAAACTCGTTCAAATATGTTTCGATCGAGGGAGAAATTACGAACAAGCTTCCTTTTTACTACTTCCTCTTCATGGAGTTTTTTTTCTAATTGGCGGGGTTTTTCGTCTCCCAATAACCTTTGGAGAAGCTGGTGCACCCGAAAACAATGCATGGCTGTTCAAAGTCGTTCAAGAAACGACGATTTTGGCTGATTTTGGGTTTAAGCGTCCATCCGTAGCCGTTTTTCCCGACAGGCCATTAATGAATTGCCACCCTTGAAGCCTGCCGATAGGGGCATTCCTGACCTTGCGTTCAAAGTCCACATGCCTAGTTCAGCTGCCTATCTTTGCGACAGGCGAGGCCCTTCTCTTTACTGCTACCACACTTCTGAGATAGGCGAGGTTCTAATATAGGGAAACTGAAAGACCATGGTAGCTATGCTGCCACCCGCTTTTACGAAAGCGTAACAGCAGTTAGCCAAATGCACTAGGTAAGTCGAAGGCCGGTAAATGCTCGAGAGATTGAACAAGAAAAGATCACATCAGGGTAAAAAAAAAAAAAAATAAAAAAAAAAAAAAAAAAAAAAAAAAAAAAAAAATACTTTTTTCAACCAGCGCGTTGAGAAAATTCAGGTAGCGTTTTTTTACATACAATAAAAATGTTTTCCCGTCAGGGGCTTCCATTTTAAATCTGGATACTTTAACTTTTCGGGAAGTCGCCGCCGTCTAGAAGAGCGGACGGATATAATGGAATTAGTTTCAGGTTTCAGGAGATCTAGCGTATGCTAGTGTGTTATTTCATCCAAAACACCAATGTTCGGTTTGAAAAATTGGGACATTGCGGGAGCAGAATCCAGAGGTGATAGTTATATTATACTGCCCTGCATTACATTCCTCACCTCTTCTCTTTCTTGTTTTGTGATGTATGAAAGGAAGAGAATGGAAAGCTACCAGATCGCTGTTCCGCGTAAGGGAGAGGGGGGGGGGGGAACAGAACATAAATGAGGTATATGTAAATAAAGCTGAAAGGTCTCATTCTGCTCTGAACCATACAGAGCTCAATGATTCCTTCATTTACTGGAACTTCAGTTGCCAAGTTGTTCATCATCAAGGTGTATTTTGGCGTATACGTTCAGTCCTGGAGCTCACCATACCTGAGGTGGATAGTACGATGAGAATTCTAGCTATGGACACCTGGAACCGGCAGTAGCCAAACATCCGTTGGCTTAGGGCACTTAAGGGTTTAGGCATGGCGTAGAAGTTCCTGCAGTGTGACATCGATCAGAGGACCGACTGTAAAGAGGGGTTGTGGATGGAATTTCAAGAAGATCAGGATACGGCAGTAGCTTTCTGCCTTGATCCCTTTCTATCATTGCAAGGATAAAACTGGTGTAGTCAAGACCGAGTCAGGTTTGCTTACTAAACGCATGGACGGGACATAAAATCCTAGCTCGTACGCCTTCCAGGCTAACCAAGCCTTTTATCGCTCCGGGCTCGTTAATTGGTGCAAAATCTTCATCTTTGAAAACGAAATCGCAGAGTTCCACATGGCTGATCCGGCAGTTGCCACAGGCCACAAATCACATTAAGATACGCTGCAATTGTGAGTCAAGTTAGATGCGTGCCATCCTTGGTAGTGATTGGTTAGTGCCCAGAGTTTTTAATCCTCTACCAGGTGCACGTAATTCCTTGCTGGGATTCTCCCACGACGCGTTTAATCCCACTTGACAGTCAGCACTTTGCTGAAGTGCCTCTGAGGTTAGGTGTCTTCAAAATGGGCTACACTCTACTACCAATCGGAAAATATCTGATTCAGAAATCTCTACTGAGCACCAAACGATAGATTAATAGACATTTTAGAGGAATTCCACTGAGAGCTTCCAACAGTAGCGTCAAACCTGTTCGGCTAAAACGGTTTCGCGCGCGACTTTTTTCAGGAAAGGCTAGGAAATTGCCTGTGGATTTTGCTTTCAAACATGTTGGATCCTTAAGACCCAAGGACTTGAAAATAGCGAAGATATAATATATAAATTTTCAACGCGAGTTGTACCATTGAGAAAAAATCATGTATGGAAAACGATTCCTATGATCGCTTTTGACCGCTACTGTAGGTATGAGTATGGTCAGCAAAATCATGTGGGTTCTGACCTATTGTGTTCAAAACTGTTCTGTTTCTGGGGCAATTGGACTTGGGAAATCTTTTTGATTTCCTAATTATTTTTTTCTATTATTTCCATTTTTTTCTATTATTTCCGTTTTTTCTATTCTCAATAGTAATTTTTTACATTTTTTTCATTCAATACTGTATTTTTAGTGGGAAATGCGAATGTCGGTCGTACTGTCGGCAGACTGGGCCGGCCGTCTGTGGTTCGGATCGAGTCTCGTACGCTTCCGCTTGTCATCTCTTCGTCAGAGCATGTCTGCTGGCCAAAAAAGGCATTTCACTTCGTATGGTCGGCCGCGAAGCTTGCAGTGAGTTATTGAATTATCTCTGAATGTCGTTTTGACTCTAATATAGTGGAGTTCGAGAGCGGACTCGAGCGAGCGCATTCTGAAAAGGGGTGAAGCTTGTGCTGGAAATTTTTGTCTCAAAAAAGAGAAAACCCGTGCTGGAAATTACTGTACATGAAGCCATCTTGCTCAGATCCACTTCGATGACTCAGTAGCATTGTTTCCTTTATGATCTTTGTTCGAGAACATGCAAAAGTGAGGGTATTGTGGTACTGTACACTCTGGTATTCGTCAAAAGGACCCCTCCTGGGGTAGTAAGTGTCAGCAGCCAATGCTTATGACAACTACAAAGCGTTTTATGTGCATTTTTTTTTCTCTTTACCATTTTTAGCAGCACGTGCTATCACAATGCTGCCATGGCGAATATCTGAGTTCGAAATGCTTAATCGGGTCCTCTGTGAAGGTATGCACGAATCGCTTTCCGTTTTCCCAAGTGGACCCTTGTGCATGGCGCCCAATGCTAACAATTCTTTTCAACAATTTATCAAATCACGAGAAAAACAATGAAGTTTCACTGAGTGTTGAAAGCTTTCTCCTAAATTGAATTTCCAGTGGCGTAAGGGGACTTTTTCCCAACCGATTTCGCATGTAGGATCATATCAATTTTCTATAGTGAAGCCGTTCCGTGACGCAACCCACATGAAACTCATTTACGTTTGTCATCTTCTTTCTTACCTAATATAGCGCTCAGTGACTTCCAACCGCTTCTGAGCGTAGAAACAGCAGCGGTCGTGGCTGAATTTTTCCAAATCTCCTAGACCCTTGGCATTGAGAAGATGGGGAAAACTTCCCTTTTAGCCACGACATTATTTATTTTTTTCTCACCTAGTTCTAATTAATTGTGCATTTCAATTGGCCATCACGGCAGTGCTGCTTTCTTGCGTAAATTGCGTGTGCGTTTTGATTTTCCTCCAAGTGTAAGAGAATTTTCCACTGATTTTTTTCACAGGTGTAGAGGGGACTTCTTACTCTTCGTAATAAACTGAGGCGGAAGTGTAGTAGTGCCGAATTTTCCAACTGATTTTTCACAGGTGTAGAGGGACGTTTTACTCAATCTAATGACTGAAAGGGCGGTGTAGTGGCAGGTGGCACAACTTCCTGTCCGGGGATCGAATCCTGGGTCGTGAGTCGCCCGGGCCAACCAAGCCTTCCATCCCTCCGGGGTCGGTTAATTGGTACCAGACTTGTCTGGGAGGATAAAAACACTGACTTGTACATCGGCTGGCCCCCGCAAGTCATTGTGCCACATCGCATTCAAACGCCACTACGAATGTACAAATGGAAGTAGAATGCGTGCCGCATTCCAAAAAGGGGGTAGATCAATGCCTGTATGCACCACTTACCATTTGCGCCCTAACATATATTTGAAGGACGCTTCTTGATTTGCGACAGCAGTTCATTACTGGTGTACTCCAGCTTAACTTCATTCTGGGTTGAAAATGGCCCTAAATGGGTTCTGAGCTGGTAGCCATACCATTCATAAGGTAATGGTTGCAAAATGTCGACAACGTGAGGCGGCACGGCGCCATCAGTGCATTTGTGTGGCGGTCGATTTGCTCATGAGCTTATCTTTTCACTGACCGTGTTATGAGCACAACAAACACTACACGCCCGGGTTCACCGGGTCGGGCCGCGCGGCGCTGCCACCTGGGATTGCTGCTAGGCCGCATGTGAGAGAGTTGCGAATGATTTGGATGCAAAGTGCATGTGAGGGGGCAATTCTGAGCAGGCACTGAACGCTGTGCGAAAAAGGCGTGAAGAGGCTCGACCAGAGCTGCTCATTTAATTCCAACGCCTCCACTCATTTGCGGTTACTGCTTGCTGTGTGCGATGAAATTAGGCTGAAAACGCTGCCGGCGGCGAAATATATGCGGCGTCTGCTGCCGACAGCACTGCTTCTTCTTTTCTCTCACTCATCCAGCGCTTGCTATCGCTATCCAAAAGGTACCTGTAGGATGTTCAACCTTTGAATATTGTTTTATAAGGGGATATTACAGGGAAAAGAAGTCCATGTGACGATCTACGCTGCGGACCAGGCGAGGATTGCGTCGTTACTCAGGTTGGTCAGAACTTTTCTCTTCAACCCTAATTTGGACCCTTTTGATTCCTCTATTCACATGAAGTTTTCACCTGATCAATTTTAATTTACCGTACCCATTTTCAGAATGCTGGCGTTCTCTCAGCTCAGTGCGTATGTCCCAGCACTTGTCCATCCTATGGTGACTCAGGTGTGTATTTAACTACCTGTTTGCATTTTCCCAACACATTTAGTTCACAACTTGTTACATCGTTGTGCGGGCTGTCGAAGTGGGCCGAGGTGTTAAATTTCGCCTTTGTGAGTTCCTTTCGCGTTTAAGGGAAAGTGCTACCTTATCCGCACGCATTGCCAGTGGACTGAGTTAGAATACCATAACTGGGTATCTGAGGTGAGCGGTCCAACCTATCCTTCACCTCTCCTCGATCGAATGTTGGTGCAACTCTAGTATAGGTAGGTAAAAGGCAATAGAACATCTACCAGCCGATTATGTGAAGACCTTGCATAGACTAAATTCTTCATTCAAACACCAGTGCCGATTTGAGGAAAGTAGAATACGTGGCGCATTCCAGAATACGATCAATCTCTGCCACGATCCTTGAACTTTACTTTCTTTGCTGTCACCCTCAGCGCGGTCTGGCTTAATTAAAACACTTTTATTGTTGCTTATACAACTTATAAAGGATAAAGGATAAAGCATTTGCCGTTGATCAATCCCTTTTTGGGATGCGGCACGCATTCTACTTCCATTTGTACATTCGCAGTGGCGTTTGAATGCGATGTGGCCTATACAATGACTTGCGGGGGCCAGCCGATGTACAAGTCAGTGTTTTTATCCTCCCAGACAAGTCTGGTACCAATTAACCGACCCCGGAGGGATGGAAGGCTTGGTTGGCCGGGCGACTCACGACCCAGGATTTGATCCCGGACCGCTCGCGTGGTGAGCGCGCCACTTGTCACTACACCACTTCCGCCCTTTGTTATTAGTTCGTATAAAAGACTAAATAAAAGTTTTCGAAGAAACCATTC